CCCCACATCCCTGCGTGGGACGAGGACAGCCAGGGACGAGGCAGAGCTGCAGCCCAGGGCCGGGCTCCCGGCAGGCTGCCAGCACACCCGCGCTGCCTCGCGCAGAGGGTTTACCTTCCTTACTTTGCCAGGCGTGTGGGGGCCCAGCACCCGCCGCTTGATGGGGGTCCGCGGGGTGCTGCCATACATCATCTCCGTCTCGATCTGGCGGCTTTTCTTCAGTTGCTGTGCGAGAAAATGGCACTTAAACTGCGAGCAGAGGATCGGCGCAGAGCTGCGCCCGCCTGCTCCCCCCCATCTGCGGGGCAGGGCAGGCTCCGGCCAGCGGGCAAAGCCCTCGGGGGGTATCTGCACAAGATTCACAGGTATCCAGAGCCAAGCCGCAGTTCTGGGGCCAAGAGAGGGGCTCAGCACACAGACACCAACAGCAACAGCCATCAGTCGGGCTGTCAGAGAACGGGGACGGCATGCAGAGCCGCGGGGAGGGAGAAGACGGAGCCGCGGGCAGCAGCTGGGGGTGGCAGGGCAGCTGGTATTCAGTGCGGCCACGGCTCCTCCAGCCCGGAGGCATTACGCTCCGCTCCACACTCACCCGCTCCTGCTTCTCCTTCTCCTTCTCCAGGCGGTAGAGCTGCCACTGCTCTGACACGTACTCCATGAACTGCTGCCCCTTCACCAGGAAGCTGCCCTCGCGCTCCTGCTCCCAGGCCAGCACACGGCTCTCCAGCTCCTCCTGCAGCTGGGGACACCCAGCCGGGGGGAGGCTCAGCGCCGGCGTCTCTGCGCCCAGAGAGCCCTGGCTGGCTCCCAGTGCCCCACGCGGGACCCTGCGGCTGCTCCCCCGGGGCTGAACCCACCTTGGAAAGCGTCTTCTGCAGCTTCGCTCGCTGCTTCTCCTCCTTCAGCAGGTTCCCCCCGCGGTTGGTGAAGCGACTGGGGTCAATTGCTTTCCTCTGGAGCAGAGGCGGGGTCAGGAGAGAACCCAACGTGCTGCCCCATCCCGCAGCCCAACACCCCCCACGGGATGAAGGCCCTGCAGGACCCCACCCCGGCTGCGCAGCCCCCATCGTGCCCCACAGCAGTGCTGGGGGCACAGCCCCCCATCCCCTCCCTGACCTGCTGCGGCTTCCTCCTGCCTCCCCAGTCCTTCCCGACCCAGCGCCGAGCCAGGCAGAGCGTGCTCCTGCCCCACGCACCTCCAGCTCCAGGAACAGCTTCCAGTTCTCCTCCCATTTCTGGACGGCCTCGAACAGATCTTTGTGCGTTTCATAGTAGCTCTTCATCTTCACCACCTCAGCATCGTGGAGCTCGAGCAGGGTCTCTGTGTAATCCTCTGGAGAAGGGACAACAGCGCGTCTGGGAGGCAGCCGGGACTCCCCCAGCCCTGTGAGCCCAGGCAGCTGCAACCCCCAGAGAGGACGCGGGGAGGGGGCAGAGGCAGCACCCACCGTCGTAATAGGGGCTGAAGGCTTCCCTCTGCTCCGGGCTGTAGAAGCACTTGTCCCAGTAGCCAGCCAGCTCCGCCCGGATCGCCTGGATCATGGATTTCATGTTCTGCAGCTTCAGCTCCTCCAGACGCTCCACTTCCAGCTGCAGCTGCAAACACGGCGAGAACACAGACTCAGAGAGGGCACCGCCAAGAAGAGACGAGCAGAGGGGATTTATCTTCTGCACAAGCCCCTTCCTAAGGGGAGGCAGTCGCAGCACCAACTCGCAGCTCCTCCACCTGCGAGGGCAGGATGTGGCCCGCTCGCCTCGCACCTGACTGCCGGGATCAGCTCCTCCGCTCCGGCTGAGCGACAGGAGCCTGAAACCACCCAGCGTGGCCGCCCCCCAGCCCTCCCATCCCAGGGCGCAGGGGGTCCTTACAGCTTTCCTAGTTTTGGCTCTGGACCCGGCCATGTGCACCGCGAAGGACTCTCTCTCCTCTGCAGGAATCTGCAGCCTTTCCCAAAACGCCGCGATTCTGGAGCGCAGCTCTGCGCACACAGCTTCGTTCAGCGATCGCTGGGCTTCCAGCTGCGGAGGGAGAGAGAGCACAGGGTCAGCCCGGCCCCTCTGCGGCGCCCAGCAAAGCTCAGCACCCAAGATCTCCTGACACAAGCTCCCAAAAGGACGTCCCCACATGCAGCCTCGCGGGAAACCCAGCGGCCGCTCCTTCCGTCGCGATGCCAGCTGCTGCCAGGAGCCGTCGGCAGGCTCCGCGTGCCAGCGTACCTGCTGCTGCAGGTCGTGGAGGGCAGCGATGTTGTCCTCGGACAAGCAGAAGGCTTCCTCGTCCTCGCACACCACGTCCCGCTCAAAGCTCGTGTCTGGAGTGTGGTCCAGCTCCTCCATGAGAAGGATGATTTGCCGCTTGCTGCTGACAAACTCTTCTCGCCTTTGCTCCTGCAGGTGACCGGCAGCATTAGAAGCCAGCGAGCACCTTGCATGCCCCCCTCGGGGAATCCTTGCCCCCTCCCCACTTACCTTCTTGGCTGTCAGGGAGGCCACGTGGCACCGGTAGCGATCCAGGTCCTCCAGGCTGGGCACGGTGTTGCTGTCGATGCCGAAGGGGGTTGTGCAGAGGATGTCGCAGAGGTCTCGGTCTTGCTCCTGCAGGGTTTTCAGCTCCTGCTTCCTTTCCCTTTTCTGCTTTAGCATCACCTCCACGCGGGTGCGCAAATTCTTCTCCCTCTGCAGAATGGTGCTTTCTTCCTCTACCTAGAACAGTCCAGGAAGGAGTTCTCTCAGACCTCACTCACGTTTACAGCCTTTTAAGCTCAGCCCTGGAACACGAGCGCCGGTTCTGAGCACGGTGCTCCCCAGGAAGGTGCAAAAGCAGCAGCGCCGCACAAGCCGGGATGCTGCGAGACACATACGCTCCTCACTGCCACCTCCCACCGAGCACGACAAGGGGCTCCAAACAGGCCCTTCCCTGCGAGCTCCGGCCTCGCCAAGGCACCGGGCAGGGGCCAGGCAGCAGAGCCGCTGCCAGCGGGACCCCGGGAGCGAGAAGCAATGCCTCACTCACCTCCACGGCGTCCAGCTGGAGCTCCTCGCAGAGCGTCTTCAGCTCCTTCTGACACAGGTCGATGCTCTTCAGGAGCCGCTCCTTCAGGCTCTCCTCCTCCGCAATCATCATGTTCAGGAGACTCTGCAGCACCAGCACCGTTAGGGACAAGGGACAGGCTGCAGGGACCCAGCGGGAAGGGGACAG